TTGAAAAAGCGCGATAAGAGCGCAACATACACCGCGAGAATACCAATACAAGTATTTAAATAAATTTTATGTAACGCTTGCATAATACTGTTTGCGACGAAACTCTCGGAGCCTTGAGATTTCATCTCTCTTTAATTGTCGTTGAATAGATTAATTTGTAGCGGCACTTTTTACCGACGCGGTCCACGCATCTTCGCACTTGGCGCGGAATCTAATTTTGCTCACGGTGAAAGATGCTCGGCATTATTCATTGTTTGTCACATTGTTTCATCTCTCTCTCTCTCTCTCTCTCTCTCTCTCTCTCTCTCTTCCTTTCTCTCGACGAAGTAAATCTTTTCTTTGTGGCAAAATGCCGCGATAAGGAGATGACCTATTTTAACAGAGAGTCATATTCGCGCGAGTCGCAACGTAGCCATCTAAAATTCAGCTCTCACGAGGCTCTCGCGATAATAACGAAATCGAACGCTTTATTCCGAGTCGCTCCACTTCTAGCGGCATTCGGATACTCCATTCGTGCGGCCTCGGTTTTCGACTCTTTCTGCAGTTGTTGTTAGCGCGCTATTTTGCTGATCACGAGCGAAGTCCAAGAACAAGATTTCAAGTTCCTATTAGAAGCTCCTATTCTATCTCGCTTCGTAGCGGCACGCGCGTGCATGCGCGCTATCTTCCGTAACGCAAGCCTCGCTCTGCCGAGGCCATCGAATTTTATTTAACTTTCCTCGCGAGCCGGCTGTAACGACATCGAACGCGCATATAGATATTATGTCAGCATTATGTATAGATAGCAGCCGGCTGATGTTCGATCTTTTCCACCAGAAATCACGTCGAAGGTCGCGCGCGCGGCCGTCGAATACGACGTCGTACGCTTTAAAACAGTCTAACGCTTCGGTTCTTCGTCCTTGCGACAGTTTTAGTTTTCGAGGAGTCCCGGAGCCCCGCGCCGCCGCCGCCGCCGTCGCCGCAGCCGCTTGCGAGGGAGGAAGAAGGGTGGGTGCGGTGGTTATACGTGCTTTATACCGTCGCTAGTCTACACGAAGCCGGTGTAAGGTTACGCGTTGCAAGTTAGTTGTCACGAGTGGGCACACATTCGCTTAAAATTAGCGAATATCAAGTAGGAAGCAAATCGCGGGAGTGCTGGCCGAGCTGTGCTTGCTGGCTAGCTGGCTCTGATAGTTCGAAGTAGAAACCGCTTCTATTTTCGCGCGTACTTGCCAACGAGCGACGTCGAGCCAATACCTTGAATACCTCGCGTTAATTACTCATGGTTCGGTCAGCTTCTCTTTCCCCAAATTTTGCATTCCCCCTTTTCCTCTCGCGAATCTCATTTCGCAAAACCGACTTCTCCTCCTCCCGTCGCTTCTCTCGATCGGCGTCTCGTAAGAAACGTCGTACGATTTGGCACGTCTGAGAGATGAGCGTTGGTATACTTTGGAATTCCGGTTGACAGTTTGTTCTTGTTGACAACTTCGCGGCTTCGGCGGCGGCGGCGGCGGCGGCGTCACAAGGCCGGCGCACACATCAATGTTGTATCGTCACGCATGTGCGCAGCATGTTGCTACGTGCACGCGTATATATCTCCGCCTCGCGGATTTGTCGCAATGTCTCATGTCGGCTCGAGCGTTCGGAGAGCCGGCGCGAGCGACGAGAGGAGAGGAGAGACGAAGCGCGCGCGCGGCGAGGTGAGGTGAAACGCGGCGGCGGCGGCGGCAGCGTGGCCTTGTCCTTGGGCATAATCTTTCCTCGTTATCGGACGGCGTCGAGGCTGCGGTCGCATCGGACCGACTGCGAACGATTAGTGCTGCTCTCGACCATGCGTCAGCCTTCCTTTTATATTCGCGAATAATAATGCGCCCGGCGTCGCGATGTGTCGGCAGCTCCGAGAGCGCGCCGCATCGCGCTGGTGACGCGCGCACGCGTGTCTACCTGTGGGCGCGTGAATTTCGGAAGAGATTTCGGAAGAAAGAACGCACGTTCGCGGAACGTCATTTACATGTTTGCGAAACTCACGCGTTCCGATACGGCGATATCGCGCCTCGCGGAACGAAAATCGCTAAACAATTCGCGCTCGTTTCACCCGCTCGCTCGTACCGTATTCTATCCTCATTACAGATACAGCCATCGAGAAAGTATATACGCGTATGTAAATCATCCAGTACGGTCCGCAGAGTCGCCGCAGCGGGACGGTTTTCCCGTGAAGAAAGATAATCCGCGTGTCGTCATCTCGAACTGCGAGCGACACTGGTTATCAATGATACCCCCCTGCTTCTAGGAAGCGAAATCGCTATCGCCGACCTTGGCTAGCGAAATACTTAGCACAGCGGCACGTGTGGTGGCGACGTAGAAGCTGACGAAGCAGAAGAGACCGCGGATAACGAGCGAGGACGCGAAAGAATAGGAGCCTGTGGTCGCGCGCGTGACGACGTATTAATTAATGCGATACCATCTATCTCGATACGATATTAAGATACTCGGGTGATTAGCCGCGCTAGGTGATCGGCATTCCATCGATTGGATCGCCGCTACTAACAGAAACGTATAGGGACACATTGCTCATCCCCCTCTCTCTCTCTCTCTCTCTTTCTCTTTCTCTCTCCCTCTTCCATGCCTATTATTCCGTTACACGTGTATTCACGTGAACGTATTCCCTTCGTTATCATCCGACATGAAATTTGGGGTGCTCGGAAACGAGGAAATGGGGAAAATAACGTAACGAGTTCGCGACGGGAGGGAAAGAGGAGGAGGATGAGTGAAAAGGGGACACAGGGGGGCGATTCCGACACGCGTAGCCTTTGCGCGAACGTGAATATACCGTATTATTATTAGCTGGATCGTTGGAAACGCGCAAGGTCAGCTTTCGCATTCTACCTCCGGCTGTCTACGCACCCGCTACTTCATCGACTCTCTAATCATCGTAGAGCCCACACAGATGAGACCGCCGCCGCAAGCGCGGCATTTTTATAGACGATAAATGTCGGTGACGAATAACCGTGCAACATATTTGCCCGCGCGACCACGTGTCTCGCCCACGTGAACTGTAATTATTCATTGTTTGGGGAAAGCTGTCGACACGATTCGCGCATAATTGTTTACTGGATTCGAAAATAATCCAGCGACGGTACGGAAATTCTCTCTCCCTCTCTCTCTCTTTATTTCCCCTGTCTGTATTTATTTTGGCGATAATTGTTTCGACAGTAATTTTACGAATTACATTCCGATTCTTCGACCGTGTCGATAACCAGAAATTACAAAGCACGGTTCTGCTTCGTGCTCGCTCGCTCGTTCTATCCGGATGATAATTAGAGTAATTTAAGGTAAACATTTCGGGGACCTTGGCGCGCCCAACTGAGTTACGTGGCGTGACTTCCGGCGCTTTCACAAGGGACTCGCCCCTCGAAGGGCCTTTTCGATGGCTATCCGAACGCGTTCGACACGATGACCCACTTGCGCGCCTCGCGTTCCTCGTGAACGAATTCGCACGTGGCGTGAGTGTGAGTGGCGCAGTGAATTCTCGTGAGTCGATCGCGTTCGATTTTACGCCGACGCGATAAGATCAAGAACGATTTACGAAATACCGAAGAACAAGCGGATAATCGTCGAGCGACGAGAACTTATTCGGCTACCACACACACACACACATACACACACACCGTCTCAGGTTTCCCCCTCTCGATTATTATCGGTGTCCCAACCTCGCAAGTATTAGCGTGATAACGACGATGTAATTAGACACCCGGAGATATCGATCTCGACCGTGGAAGCGCGCGCGATCCATGAAAACCCGCGAATTCCCGCGACGACCTGATCGATCTCTCTTTCTCTGTCTCTCTCTCGCGATCATCGTCCACTGCGAATGCAGTTAGACCGATGGTTCCTGCCCTTTTCGCGAGGAGCCCGCTGCGACGCTTCCTCGCGACCCAGCCATAGCGCAATTATGCAATTACCGCGATCGGATACTGATCTTTTGCGGAAGAACTGGAGTTCCGTTACGATGCAACGAACTGTGGCCACGACGGCTAACTGTAAAGGACTCCGGCGTGCTAACCTGTTGCAACGATCGCCGTGTCGCGCCGAGGACGCGCCGAACGCGACGATGTGCTTGCGGAAATATTTCTCGAATAATCTCTTATCTCGCGTATAAATAAGACTCGTCGTGCCAATTAGTTTGCGCGCATTCCCCAGATTTTTCCTTCTTCCTTCCGTTTCCCCTCCTCTCTGCTTCTCTCTCCCTCGAGACAGCAGGAGACTTTCGCTCATAAAATCGGAAAGAGGGTCTCAGCCGATGTGCCGGCCGAGGTGTGAGGAGTAGGTCGATCCTCCAACTTCATAACAACTTCATAACGACTTCATAACGACATGATGTGAGCGTAGCCTTCCTATCGTGTAGGAATTATATCTGCGCTGACACGGCACTGTCGCGAGAAGTTACAGAATCGGCCCGCTGGCGACGTGGGTCCCGATCGATAAGGCTAAAAATATCAAACGATAACGCCATTTGCGATCGGGCCGCGATATCGGGATCACGCGGTGTAGGCAGAATGGGCCGTCGTCGGAATAACAGGAAATCTGACACCGGCGCGAGTGCTGGTGTCGTGCACATGATCGCATCCCATCGCCTCGTATCGCACGGCCTAGGACCTTAGTTTGGTAATCGCGACACCCACGCACAGCGGCAGTGCCGACGACAGGTGATCGCGCGTATCGCGTGTCTTTATACATCCGTTATTCGCGGCAAGACTCTGCCTCCCCTCCCCCTCGCGATAAAGCGTCGGCCGTTCCGACGTCACGATGAACGCACGGTCGATATCGACTCGCGATACCACGCAAAGGACCTTGAGGACCTGACGATTGTGCGGCGCCGTGGTTGGCCCAATCGACCCGGACGGGATATCTCTCTCACATGAACGATTAAAATCGTGCGTCGTTACCGCGACGATCGTGTCCCGATCGGCCTTCGACACGCGTTACGGTTTATCGTTCATTCGCCGTGTCAAGGTAATTTCGCGCGGCGCTGTTCACGGAGGTGTGCCGATCGTCGCACCGATTCTCGCCGCGAGTCTCGCCCCAAGGACGATGCTACGCCGTAAAACGAAAATGGCGTTACGCAACTGACGTTGCATTTCGAAGCGTTTATTACCCGGGGAGGCCGCGGCGTGCAATATTATCGTTCCTCGAGGCTGCCCGAGCTCTCTACCGAGCAGCTCCTCGCGATTACGCGTCCGTTGCACACCCGGCATTTGCCCAACAGACCGGCGACGATCCCACGATTGACGAGCGCGCGTGCGAAGTTGCGCGAATGTTTGTCGAATATATTGTTCATCTCGGTTTGAATGGATAGTCTCTCTTCCTCCGTGTAGAATACTCTAAAAGGTAGATCTGTAAAGTCAAGGCTACTTCTTGGAGATAGATAAGGCCGCCACCGGGCTGGGAACCGGCGAGTACCTGCATCAACGTCGCCGCTATTTCTGCACTCGCGTGTACGTACGTGGATAAATGTCAACGGCCTCGTCACTATTCAGCGCAAGTGCGCTTTGCTGGTCAGGCGTTGGCGTACGGGCGAGTCGAGTCGAGGCGAGGCGAGCCGCGCGAGAGTGCCAGAGGTCGATATCGCGTCGCCCAATTTCCTTCTCGTTGCTGCCGAACGCGTCATCGTCGAGAGAGTGCCAGGGATATCGGTACACGAGCTAAAACACCCCATTATTCACATCCCCTTAGTCGTCGTTGACACTCTGGCGCAGAATCTGGTTTTTTATGCGCGACGAACGTTGCAGTTGGACTTCTCGTCTGCACTCGGTGATTCCAAAGAACTTCGCAAGTAAAATTATGAACAACCGTCATTAATCGTAAGACAAACTAGACTTCTTCAGGAAGTGTCAATGACTAAAGGAGATTGCTTCACTGTCTGAACTTCTATTTCTATCGAACGGGAGAACGTTCCAGAGAGTTTCTCGTCGCTCTAACCTCGAATGGTGGGAACAAGCGAGAGAATATCCACACGAAAGAGAGAGTTTGGTTAACCAAATTTGATGAAAGATAAACGAACCCGAAATTCCGATTAAGGTTATCAAAATTCTGTTTGAGTTAACAAGATTTCTGGTTAACTTGAGCTCAATTCCGATAATTTCGACCAGAATTTTCTGATTCGTTAACATTTTATCAGAAAATTGGTTGACCTGACCAAATGTTCTTTTTTCTATACATATTCTTCGGATTAAATGGTGCGTAGATATTGGTTCTAGGGCTTTTAGCGCGCGAAAGAGAGAGGAAAGAGATGGATAGAAAGAGAGAGAGAGAGAGGAGTGGAGAGGAGGTCAATGGTTCCGCGGTCTTGCGAAGGCGACATAATCGTCGAGCAGGCGAGCGCTGATGTGAAATGGGCAAATGGCAAATGTGACCTAATACGCGCGAGGGCAATCACCTCTGCTCCGCTCTACGCCGCCACAATCGTCGGTTCTATTTGTATCTCGTTACTTCCGAGCGGTCGTTTCGACAGCGGCGAACTCATCCCATTAGTGTGTCCCTTTTCGGGGAGCGGGGGATAAAGGCTAGCGTAATGAGAATACAGTACACGCGGATTTCTCTCGCGATTGGGAGGCAACTTGTAATGGATTGGAGTCTGTGGAACGGAAGTCGTGCCGCTTCCGGCCGATCAGTTGTTCACTCGCGAAGACCGACGCGCGGTTTGACATTTTTCGGCTTCGTAACATGAGAAGAAACGTAGCAATTTCACGATTTCGACAAACAAAACTGTAAAATAAGAGTCTGGAGTATTTTTTTTTTTTGCGAACATGTGTAAATATAACACGGTATAAATATAATGCGACGATGAGCGCGTTGTGATTTTGATTATTCAGTCGGTTATCGCTCGTTCGTCCCTCTTCGCCACTTTGTTCCACGTTCTTATCCTTCACCGTCAGGCCTCAGCCGAGCGAGCATGTGCGATTTCTTAGGCCAACGACCTACTGTTTGTGGATTCCAGGCAAGGAACTCCGCGTTTTGCACATGCAGTTACACGCCGACTTACGATCGCGCTCGCTGTTACATTTCACGTGTCTAGATACGAGTGCAGGTGAAAATTGATCGTTCTCTTTTCCTTTTCACGACGAACAGGAAGTACTAAATCTTCGGATTACCGCAGATTTCGCAGTAATCCATGTTTCGTGCAGTAAATTGAACGGAGAATGTAACGAGACAAAGAGCGAGATATTGAATTCGGTGGTGCGAGGAATTTTGTGCTTGCGAATTCATGAAATTTGCCTTAATATCAATAATTTCACTTTATTCCATTCCATTTATCTACATTGGGAAATTGTTTCGACATACAAAAGGTAAAATAAAAAAGGACCAAGAGTAAGAAATTTTTTCAGAGATATTCGCTGAAGTTTATAATCCTCGCGCACACAGTGGTATAACAAAGAAATCAGCATTCGTCCGAGAAAGATTGATATGTTTCAGAGGGTCTCTGTATCATTTATTAACACTGAGAACAATTCGTTCAGTATCCTTCATACCACAAACATTCCGCGTTGTATCACGCGAGGCGCGCTCTCACAAACGAGCGTTCCGAGATCGATATCGTGCAACGAAACCGATGATCTCCTCCCACCAGATGAACTCTCTCTCCGTGCAACGTTCCCGAGGATGAAATATCGTTTACGTGTAGCAGTTGTCGGTTCAATGACCGACACGGTTTCGCTCGCGTTCGCGCGCCGCGCCGCGCCGCACCTCGCCACACCACGCCGCCGAGCCATTCCACTCCACGCTGTACGTGCACACGTATAGCTGTACGTACGTAGCTTTACTCGAGCGGCGAAACGTAAAGCGTGAAGACCCCGGGACCGGCGGGCGTTTCGGGAAGATGACGAAAATATACCAGTTAAGGAGCACGGTCAATGACCAGCTCGGTTCTTGCCGCCGCCGCTGCGACGTAATCCGATGACGAGTTTCCGGACACCGAAAGCCGTCGATTAAACTCAGCGCGAACTCGCTGCCTGCCCGTCGGGCCGACGCAAATTTTTCCTCATCCATTACCGCGCGCAAATGGGGAGCCGGTGTGGAAGATGCTTCGGGAGATTAGTTCACGTTCTATCGTTTTAACGAGCCCCCGTCACTCCTGTCCGCTATTTTTGCCGAACGCGGCGCTTTTATTAGAACAGTGGCATTTCTTTTTCTCGCGCTTATTCAGTCGCTTTCTCGAGAAGCCCGAGGTGTTGTAGAAGATTATAAAATAAGACGCGGAAGGGCATGAAATAATAACAACAATAATGTTTACTTTACATCATCGAATAGATGTCTCGCGAATCTTGATACATATTTGTAATCTTAATACATAATTGACCTTTTTGTCGATAAAAGTGTTCCCAAATATGGTTTTTGAGCCTTCTGATTGACTTTTGGTTACATTCAGAGACGCTTTTATCGAGAAGAGAGAGTTCAGAATAAAGATCAATGTAATGACATAAGAGAGAGAGAGAGAGAGAGAGAGAGAGAGAGAGAGAGAGAGAGAGAAGGCGGCGACAGCTTTTACAGCTGATGTTATTGTTTTGTCCAATTATCCTAAAAATATGCCAAATAATTAAATCTTAAAGTCGAAAAAAACCAAAACGGCATGATTCGATATTAAATTTTTCCGTCGTGAATTGCGTTACATTTATGGTGAGAGTATCGGTGAAATGTCGTGAATATTTCCAAATAAAGTCGCGGTGAGAAATTTCATGTGGAACCGTTTGGTTCCACAAGACGAGTCTGCGCGCGATAATCCTTCGTCGCATGCGATTTACTCGAATCGTCGGTTATCTTCATGTGTATCCGCTAAGGTTTCTATCTCTTCAATTTTTGCGTATACGATTGACCTCGGAGGGAATACCGGCGAGAGAGGGAGAGGGAGAGAGAGAGAGAGAGAGAGAGAGAAGCGTGGAGGGCGAAATCACTTAGGCGCGAGCGGCCATTCACCTCGGCGTTCTTGAACTTTCAGGGTCGCTTAACGCCAAGCACCCGATGAGCGGAGAGCCTTATCGTTTCAGCAAAACGTCGACTCGAATTACGGTTAGCTCTCTTTATCGCATAACTGCGACTATTTCTATCAAGGACTATGCTTACGTCCAACATTGGCCGGCACCTAAGTATGATCGAGCAACCTAAATAAACAAGATTTAGGCGTGACATCGCCGACGTTGATTGTCGCTAACCGCGATTAAACGAATCTTTTTCTTTTCTATCTGGACTATAATCGTGGCTGGCCCAGAAAAATATAAGGCAACGCAACACTGGTCAGAAACTCGAAACGACAAGTAGTCGTCAAATTCGGTCGGTACGATTGGCCGATCTTGGTGCTTGGCCGATTGGTGTTTCGCGAATCGATACGTGCGCGTGCGATTCTATTCCCCGCTGTCTCCAAGTCTTCGCGTTACGAGCGTGTCGTCGAGGCGTCGCGAATTCGGTGCGCGATGATTAAGGATCGCCCGGGCCACCCTCGATTTCGCGATGGATTTGCAATTTCTCGTGTAAGTCTCGGAATTGGAGCAATGACCTTCGAATTCGGTCCGGTCGACAAGGTTCGTGAACCCTGAAAGGAGTTGGCAGGCCTCGGGAAAGATGGTACAGTTATGCCCTCCTCCTCCTCCTCCTCCATCTGCTCGTACCTCGTTCCTCCTTCTTCACCAACCTCCTCCCTTTCTCTCTTCGACTACTTCTTCCTCCTCTAACAATGAACGCGCGCTCGCGTTCACTCCCGCGCTCTTGCCCGACCGAAAGGAAATACCGTATGGTCACCTCGGCCTCGTCACCGCGGCGAAGACAAGAGGAAATCCCGCGGCGTTCGTCGACCCGCGGAGTCAGATATGACTCGAATCGGAAGGGTGACCGCGGTTAACAGTAACGAAGGCGGCGGGCCTTTCCGGCGTATTTTCGCGCCGGTCTATTCCTGGTCGGGCCTCGCTGCTCGTACATTTCTAGTATCTTCTTCTATATCAGGTGGATATCGAAGATAGCCGTCGTCTAAATCGGACGTTAATGAAAATCCTCTCGATGTCGACGAGAATGCGACTCCATATACTCGTTATCTCCGTGTGTCCCGTCAAGGGGGTGGGGGCGCTTTGCCCGGAAAAAACGTCGTGACGTTCCGATCGATCGTCCTCGAGCGGATGAGCGAATGAAAACATCGCTCTCTCTCTCTCTCTCCCTCGCGCTCGCGACGTAGAACGATATAAAGACGAGGCTGGCGGCGGAGGTCGTTGAACCGCCGCGAAGACGCGGAGGACATTTCCACGTAACCACGCGCAAAATTCTACGGGTGGCCGCTACGAAACGTGAGACTTACGCAAAAGAAGCACGTGGTTCGAGGTAAGTGGGTCGTTGATTCAAACTAGTCAGGGCCACGGCGGCCACCACCGATATCAACGGGTTTTAACGGGACTGTGAGTAATCGACTCTTGTTGCGGCGATGCAGCGGCGAGAGATGGATTTCGGGACGAACGAACGGACGGAAGGAAGGAACGCGCGAACGAGGAAACAGCGCGCCTCTCGCCCTATCGAGGAGACGCCATTCGAGAATTATCGACCCGCAAGGGGTCGATGACCAGCAGCTCGGCCGTTGCGAAAGAATGAGAGTCATCGGGACTTTCTACGGTTAATTAAGCCTTTATCGTTGTTGTTTCTCTCG